TGTCGCGGCCTCGGCGGCCGCTGTCGCACCGTCGGCGAACGTGCCTGGTTACGTGCTGTGCATCTGTCTGGCCACCCGCCGTCGCCGTCGCACCGAAAATACTGCGCGCCACGCATGGTTGAACTCGGCTGTCCACGGCGCGTCCATCGCACATCGCACAACTTTATACAGTCATTTCTCAATAGTTCCGCGCGGCGGACAGATCGTTGTTGCGCATCCGTCCGCGACGGACCCGTCGCCGCCGCGTCGGGGAGATCAGATTGGAAGGCGCCCCCCCATCAAATCTCGCCCACGGGGGATACTAAATCGCGCCCATGGAGAAGATGAATCTCGCCCGCTGCGAAAATCAATCGCGCCCGCGGAAATGAATCGCGGCCGCGGAAAAAAAACCCATCGCGCCCGCGGAAAAAATAAACCGCGCCCGCGGAGAAAATAAATCGCGCCCGCGGAGACAACATCGCGCGAGGGGAGAACGTAGATCTCACCCGCGGCGAAGAAAACGCACTCGCGGAAAGTTGAAACGCGCCCGCGGAGAAAATCAATCGCGTCCACGGGGGAAATAAATCGCGCCCATGGAGAGAATATTTCGCGCACGCGGTTAAAAGCAACCGCGCCCACGGAGAAAATAAACCGCGCCCGCGGATTAACAAAAAATAACACCCAGGGAAGATGAATTCGCGCCCGCGGAAAAATCGCGCCCGCGGAGAAAAAAACAATCGCGCCTTCGGCGGAAAAATCGCGCGCGCGAAGAAAATAAATCGCGCCCGCGGGGAGAAGAAACCGCGCCCGCGGAGCAAATGAACCACGGCCACGGAGAAACTGATTCGCAGCCACGGAGAAAATAAATTGCGCCCGCGGAGAAAATCAATCGCGCCCACGGAGAGAACGCACCCCTGGGGAAAAGGCATCGCGCCCGCGGGGGAAGTACATCGCGCCCATGGAGAGAATAAATCGCTCCCATGGGGGAAATAAATCGCGCGCGCAGAGAAAATAAATCGCACCCGCGGAGAGAATTTTCCCAAACGCAACCTCCCCTTCCCGCGAGACGGGCGCCAGAGATGGACATCTGCCCGATGCAATCGCGCCCGCACTTGGCGCCGCGCGCAAGCGCGAGCGAACGGGGCGGAATCTGCGACCGCCGCGTTGGTAAGCGCCGCCCCGCGCGCACGACAAACGCCAAGTACAATCCCGACCCATCCTATAGCAATGACTGCTATAACACGGACCGGCCAACTCGAGATGACACTTGGCGCGGTGACAGCCCCCCCCCGCGCCCCCCCCCCCCCACTCCGCCACCGCCCCACCGCGCGCGCGCACGCGCGCAAACCGCGCGCCCCCGCCGCCCCCCCCGCCACCACTTCGAGTGCGTACGTACGCACACACATACAAACACCCACACATGCGCACATGCACATGCATGCATGCTTGCATGCACGTACAACTATATACATACGAATGTGTGTGTGCGCGTGTGTATGCACATGTACGTCTGTGTATAAAACTACGTATCTCCCCAAACAACACCCGCGCTTAGCACCGCGACCACGCGTGCACACCGCCACCGCCCACCCACGCACGCACGCACACCACGCGCACACACGCAAACGCGCCTCGCACACACACGCGCACACGCACGCGCGCACACACACGAACGCACGCACGCACACACGCCCCCCCATCCCTCCCCCAACACACACGCACACCACCGCCACGCACACCGCTCCCACAACGCACACGCACACGCGCAGGGACGCACGCACACCACCACAATACGCGCACGCACACACACACACGCACAGACACACGCAGACACGCACACACCCACACACACACACCTTCGCACCACCACCACCATCACAACGCCGCCACCACCACGCACGCGCACACACGCACACACACACACGCCCACCCACTCACCACACAGAGGCGCACGCGCGCACGCACCCGCACAAGCGCGCATACACGCCCGCACGCACACGCACACACACGCACACACACACACACACATCAGGGGCGCGCACTGGCACATGCACGCTCGCACATGCACGCACAAACGCGCACGCACACGCACGCGCACACACGCACGCGCATGCGCGCACATGCACGCCCCTCACGCACACGCACACACACACACGCACGCGCACAACGCATGCACGCACGCGCGCACGCACGCACGCGCACTCCTCCCCGCCACCACCGCGCCCCCCCCCATCACCACGTCCCCCCCCCCCCACCACTACCACCCACTTTCATTATCCAGGGGGCCGCGAGATCTCGTCTTGCTCGCGTGGCGTACAACTCCGCTGGATTCCCGGGAGCTTACAGAAGTTGCGACAGTTGCGCCGTTGACAGCCCCCCCCCCCCCCTCGCAATGCGAAGGCTCGTGGTCAAGTCTTGCCAGGCCCATGCTGCGTGTAACCCTGCCATGGTCTAGGCCATCCCTGCCTAGCTCAGCCGAGTCAGCCCAGTCTGAGCCAACTCGAATGCCATGGCAAATTTGGGCCCGATGTCCCAAGGGCCCCCGTCGCATGCTTGAGAAGACGGCCCCGTAAGCCCTGGGGTGGGGTGGGGTGGGGTGGGTTGGTGTGTGTGTGTGTGTGTGTGTCTGTGTGTGTGGCGCTTCGCGGGGCCCAGGAACTCGCGCCGCGGGTTTCGGTCCCCGGCGATTTCGGCCGTCGGAGTCGCGCGGCGCGCTTGGAATTCGCATCGCCCCCCCCCACCCCCCCCGCCCCAGGGATGCGCGTGAAGGGCCCTGAGCATCCAAGTCGCAGGCCACAGGTGGTCGCGAACTGGCCCCAGGGCCCCGCGTGGCAGGCCCCTGGCGCGGCGTCGCAGGCCGCGAGAGCTCGCGTCTTAAGCCCCGAGAGCTCGCGTCGGCGGGGCCATGCCTCGACCCCAAAGCGAAGAAGCGTTCTAGACATCATCGTGGCATTCGTTTTCGCATATTCCACGCGGTTGTCGTCGCAATCCCATCGCGGCGCCCTTCGTTCTTCCGTTCCCCTATCTTTTCCGCCCCGCCCCCGCTCGGCGATGGACGCGTCGCCCAAAATTAATAATTTGCCGACGAAGAATTGTTAAGGATTTTCCAACATGGCCACTTGTGGTTTTTTCCATCCCAGGTCGATGATCATGCAACCACCTGCAACGACCTAGCCGCTGTCTGGAGCCGTCAAGGCAGGACGGCAACGGTGATGACGACTTCGGTTGTTGGCGATGCGAAGCCGGTGGCCACCGGGCGAGCGAGCGAGTCGCCTCGATGTTTCGCCGATGGCTGGCACACTGTCTTGGCGGGTTCTTCGGGATGGCTCCGCCGTCGATGCCTCCTTTGACACGGCAGGTCCGCGTCGTGCCCGCGCGGCGGCGACCCCGCCGTTGGCAGTCCAGGCTGCACGCCGCCGGTGGCCGCGAATCGGCCGATCCGGCACGATCTGGCGATCGAAAAGCCGACGGTCGTTCCTCCGATCGTGGAGGGCTGAACGGCCCGCACGGCGTCCGGAGCCGACGCCGGGGTCGTCGCGCCACGACCCTGCCGCACAGGGCCACGCGGCGCAGCTGCTGGAGGCCCGCTGGGCTGTCGGGGCACCCTAGTCAGCCACTTGGGATGGATCAAGCAGTGGCGAAGCGTCCCGGCTCGCCTATAGCCCCACCAAACAATGTTCTAAGAACCGTTTGTGGCTTCCACGACATGTTCTCAGAGCATTTCTGGCTGGGACTGTCTTGTTTTACCACATCGGGTTTATGTTCTAAGAACATTGTTTTTGTTCTTAGAGCATTTGTGGGTTCTAAGAACATTTCGTGGTAGGACTATAGGAAAGCCGGGACGGTCGGTCCCTGCTCAAATGGAGTTGCCTGGCCAGCCTTTTGGCATGGAGCTGCCTGGCCGGGCAGCGAGGCCACACGGGCAGCGCGCCCGACGTAGGCAGCCCCTGGTGGCCCGAGCCCCTCGCCGGAGCGAGGTCGGCCCGGGTGTTTGCCCAGCCCGGGGGCCCACGGTGGGCGCGGCTGTGCTCTTGGCATCGCTCGGACGTGTGCATTTTTTCTCGGCGAGAACCATCGAGGACCATCGAGCCAAAAGAAACGCGCACGACATCTACAAATGCACGGGAAATGGACGTCCGAACGACGGCAAGTGCTTCCCTTGTGCCCGCGGTGCGCCCAGGGTCGGTGTTCGCTGCGCTTCTCGTTCGCGCCTTGAGCTCCCTCCCCTCCCGGTGCCTGCCTCCTGGTGCCCCCCGAGTTCGAAGGCGGGGGTTTGCCCATGCACCGCCCGGGGGAGTCGATCCTCGGGGGCCTCGGCATGCGCGGTGGATGTGGGCAGACAGTGGGGGCCCATGCCAAGAAACACCCTGCTTGCCTCCAGGGTGCCCTGGGTTTCGATAGTTTTGCTGTGGGAAGCGTTACGTTCCCTTGCAAAAAATCGATGAACGTCCTGGGGTCTCAGGGTTGGGTTTGTTGTGGAAGGTTTCTTGTGGACTGGCCTCCGCTGTATTCGGGCCCTGGTGTGGCCGAATATATCCATACCCACCGCCTGCCGAGGACCCCGAGGACCCCGAATCACGATCCCCCAGGCGGTGGTGATGGATACATCACTGCCTCGCATACGTGTGCTTGTTCCACCGTTCCTCTGACACCTCGTCCCGTTGCGGGTGTTGTAGCGGCAGCAGGTCAAAGGTACGGCAGATGGGAGGGCAAGCTTAGACGGTCGTCTCATATCGACGCCATGGTGGTTTCGCTGGCCACATATAGCCACGACGTATGTGGAGACGGCCGAGGGAGACGGAGGAGGAGAATGAGGAGTCGGAGCAGAAGGAGCAGGTGGAGCATGAGGGGGAGAGGGATGAGGGCAATGCGAAGAGGGAGAGTCCTTGTCCTAGAGACGTCTGGTGGCTTGTTGTACTGGCTCGTGGAGCCAGTCTCGCTGCCCTTGTGTGCCCGGCTAGCCTTCGCGGAAGTGGCCTGGCGGTTGTGGGGAGATGGCCAGAGGGAATCGCGGCGGGCAGATTGAGCTGCTGCTGAAGCGGGCCGTCCAGGTCGTCTCAGAGGACGCGGCGCCCGAGTCTGGGACTTTTCCTTTCTTCTTCTTCTTCTTCATCATCTTCGTTTTCTTCGTCTTCGTCTTCTTCTTAGTACTCTTCTGGATAGTTTTGAAATCCGCCATGCCGTTCTCGTCTCGGCGCCAGCGGCAGTTCCTTTGAACTTGAGGCTCACGCTCCAGCGTTTCGGGGGTGCGCCCAAACGGCCCTTCAACAACAACCTCTACACCAGCAACACCAACACCACCAACAACACCAGCAACACCAACAATCATTTTCATACTCTGAATGTTTTTTGCTCGCGTGTCAGTCGACATGCCCATCCCGCACCCTGGATACCTGCCCTCTTCGTCTTCGATCATACCACCTTGGGGGTGTATCACCCGCCACGTGTAGTTTGCGCAGCCCCCAAAACAGGGGAAGGGAGGGTAGGGACAACGGGGAGAGAGAAGAACGGAGCACCACAAAGATATGCAGGACGTGGGTTAGGAACAGAAACACAAATGTCACAACCAGACGGGTGGGGCGGGTTGGGCGGGCATGCCCAGACGGCGGCGTCGAGCGGGTGGTTCGCTGCAGCGTCAGTCCTGCATGAATCGTGAGGAAATCTCTAGCGACAGCGCGATTCCCAAGTGAATCGTGAGGGAATCTAAAGCGAGCGCCTGATTCCTCAGTGTTGGCGTTGTTGCGTTTACTGAAAGGAAGAGTACCACGCGTCAGCGCGCATCTGGAATCCGTTTTGAGGACATCCCGTGCGAGAGCGCCTGAATAAGTTGTGCGGAAGTATCAGGCGGGAGCCATTGTTGTGGTAGTTCGGGCGCCGGCAAGCCAATCTGAGGCGCAAGGTATCTCTTTGTAGAACAACAGGGTGCGACCCTGGGGGAACATTATGGACACCGGCGGGGGGGGATGAACAGCAGATATTCGTCATAAGCGAGAATTCAACAATGCTCCCGTGCGAGACTTCCTTTCATTTTGCTCCGACAGGCCCTTGCCAGAGAGGGCCCGAGCCTAAGGAAGGGCGCTCTCGCCTGAGTTTTCGTAGCAATTGAGCACCAGAGGGGGGGTCCTTCAGAGCAGTCCTGCGGATGCCAGAACGGCCGTTTTGCCTCATGCTTGCAGTTTAGCACCATCTGGAACGGCGCTTTCGCATGAACGTTTTTCGCAATTCAGCACTACAAGGTCCTTCAGAGCTTTCTTGCTGCTGCTCGCGGATGCTGGAACGGCCCTTTCGCTCGAGACCTCCTCACAATTGAGCAGCACAGGGGAGTCCGTCAGAGCAGTCGTGCGGGTATTTGCGGCGGCCCCAGGAGGTCGACTGGACGTAAGAGTGACCTTTCGCCGGAGTGACCGTTGGTGCGGGCACAGAGGGGTCCCCAGACGGCTGAACGCGAAGCGGGAGCAGCGGCTTGCGCGCCTGGATTTGGACTCCCCGCGGCCCCCCCAAACGCCGCGCACCAAAGGTCACTCTTACCCAAAGGTCACTCTTGCGTGTCGCCGAGGAGGTTCCAGGACGCTCCAGGGATCTTGGGCAGCGCTTTTCGGCCCTGCCGCCCCCAGGAGGCCTCGTGGGAGGCCCCATGGGAGGCCCCGGGGAGGCCCTTCTCTTCTCGGGGAGCCCTGGCCGGCCCCTCTGCGCCCAGCAGGGCCCAGGAGACACTCTTCCCGTGTTGGGATCTGTGTTTGGGGAGCGCTTTTTGGCGGCGCGCATGAAGGGGGTAGGGGGAGGGGGGAAGGCTTCTTAGAAGCACCCCTGCTTCTTAGAAGGCGCGGGCCTGCTCTATAGACGTAAGGCCGAGGCCTTCTAAGAAGCAGGGGTGCTTCTGAGAAGCCTTCCCCCCTCCCCCTACCCCCTTTTGCGCGCCGCCAAGCTTTCCGGCCCCCCGCCCCCCAGGGAGCCCCAAGGGTGCCCCAGGATCGGGGGGTGGACACACCTCTTGCCTTGGCGCGTCGACCAAGGCGTTGGCCGTGCTCAGTTCGCGAGGGGGCGCCGCGGCCGTCGTTTCTGTTGCGGGTCCGGGTCCGCCACTTGCGGTCCCAGGCCGTTCTCGCTAAGGGGAGGGTTTGCGAGCGGGAGCTCTGTCCACCGCCGGCAGGAGGTCACCACCCACCAATCCACCCCAAGCCAACCCGAAGGCTCAGATTTGCCCTCGATCTCCAGGGGGGGGGATGTCGGGAAACATCCACAAAAACACATGCGGAACGCGGAACCCTTACCCCCCCAACCCGAAATTCGGGTCTTCGGGTTGGGTTGGGGTGGTCTGGTAGGCAGTCAGGAGGCATCTTCTGCACGGGGATCCGCGCGCGGGGGGCGCTCCCCGGCGCCCGAGGGCTGCGCCGCCCCTCCTCCCGAGGGCTCGACAGCAGGCTGTGGCCTGCGTCTGCTCCCATAATACCAGGGGTGGACAGGCCTCCTGCCCTGACGCGTCGACTGGCAAATTTTGGCCGTCTTCGGTTCGCGAGAGGGCGTCGCGGCCGTCGTTTTTGTGGGTCCAGGTCCGCCGGTTTCGGTCCAAGGGCCGCTTTCACTGAAAGGGAGGTATACGAAAGGGAGGGTTGTTGATTGCCGAATCTGCTGCCCCTCTCCTGGGGCACTGGGCCACCGCCGCTCTCGGCCTCGTGGGGGGCCGCCTCCAGGCCCCCCCCCCGTGGGCCATCGAAGAGTGGCCCGGGACGAAGATCGCCTGCTGGTGAGGGTCCTCCAGCGCGGGCAGCAGATGGAAGTGCTGTATCATTGCGATCGGGCATCGACCGCGCGAAGGTCGCCCAGACGCAAGAGTGACCCTGGGCAGGAGCGACCTCTGGTGCGCGGCTGTCGGGGGCAGGTGTGTGTGTGTGTGTGTGTGTGTGCGTTTTGCGTATGTGCCTATATTGGAGAGGACGGCCGGTGCCGCCGACCCTGATCGAAGGGACTCGGAGGGGGAGGAGGAAGCGAAGGAGGAGGAGGAGGAGGAGGAGGAGGACGAGGAGGAGGAGGACAGGGACGAGCACGAGGACGAGGAATGTGCCTATATTTTGTCCCTCGGTTGGGGCTCGAAGCCTTCGTGCTTCACGTGTGTGCCTGTACCTTGCCCCTCTCCCAGGGCCCGATGCCTCAGTGTCTTGCGCAGGTTCGCACAGACTGCCCCTCTCCTGGGGCTCCAATCCTTCGTGTTTCGAATCCTCACCGCTCCTCACTTCTGTATGTGTCGTGCGAGCTGCAAGCGGGAAAGTGCCTCGGGAGAGGTGTTGCCGCGACCTCCCTGGGCAGGATATCTGGGTGTGGGGATATCGGCCCCTCTTGCCATGCAGCTTCCCCAAGAAGGGTCGTGGCATGTAGAAGCATGGCGCCTGAGGTAAAGCGATTGTTCTTCCTCTCCTTTCTCTTCATCCTCTTCTTCTTCCTCCTTCTCCCCTGATCTTTTCCTGCCGCGTCTGAACACCTTCATTTGTTTGAATGCGGGGGTTGGACAAACGGGGGCGGCGAAAGTCCGAGAGAAAATAAGCTGCTACCAGCGGGCTAGTATGTGCAGTTTAGAGGCGTGGACACTTCGAACGAGCACGCATGCATGTTTGCGCGCGCGACGCACGCTGATGACGACACCTGCGCGAGCGAGCAAACGCGAGCACGCACGCGCGCGCAAGGGTGGAAACCGCGCTGAGCTTGCGCCGGCGAAGTGGCTCAACACACTTCTGGTGGAGCTGGTTGGGGGGCGCGGTGGACACAGTGCGCATAGGATGTGGACGGCACTGCTTCGGCAAGCCCGCTCCCTGGCCGCGACCGAGCCGCCCCCGCGCCGCCGCGCCGCGGCCGCCGCCGTCGCCGCCGCCGCGACGGACTTCCCTCGGACGACGCTTCGCAGGTGAACCGCTTGCCCCGGGCAGAGCGGCACCGCCCCGGTCGGTGCACGGGGACCGCGGAAGGGGGCGGCAGCGAATGGCGCGAGCAGCGCTCGCCCATGATGGGGGCGATCGAGAGCAGCCGCGGACAGCCGCGAACGGCCGCGAACGGCCATCAACAGCGGGGGGCAGCTATGGGCCACGCGAACGCATTATCCGTATCCGTCGGGGCTCGACCACGCGCCGCGTGGACAAGAATGAGTGCAACAACTGGCGATGTCATTGGCGTCCCAGTTTGTCCTGCGCATGCCAATCGTCAACCGCCTTGACCCAGACCGCCAAGCCCGCGTCCACGAGTTTCCCGCAGGCGCGCAGGGTGCCCAAACACGGCACAATATTGCGGCGACGTTTCCGTTGGGTCGAAAGGCAGACGAGCCTCGCCCGAAAAGACTTAACGATGCCGGGGGCGACCTGAAAATTTCCTTCGGGCGCAGTTCAAGACAGAATTAGAAAATAAAGCCTCCCAGCGCCTGCAAAACATCTCAAAGAAGGGCTCGGGGGCGCCTTGCGGGGATGTACCCGAATCGACTAAGAGGTGAACGCCGAAGCCGCTTTGCAATCCGCATCCATGCGTTGCCATCGGGCATACCCGCCGCCATGGACGGCAAGCGCGCGGCGAACTCTTCGCGGATGCCAAGCATCAAGCCAATATTAGCGGACAGACCGGTGGCCGGTGCCCCATCCCAATGCAATGAAGCTGACGTCGTCGAGACATGCGGGCCCCTGCAGAAGTTGGCGCGCAGTGCAGCTTAATTTTGCAGGTGGCTGCGCTGCGCCCGGGCGGCTCGTGCAAGTCACATACGATAGCCATCTGTGTCCTCTATGATTTGCCTTTTGTCGCAACCATCGCAGGGGGGCAAGCTGCACGCATTGGTTTCACGCCGGCCTGGCTTGCCCGCGATGAGGAACGGCGCCAGCGCCGCCAGGCAGGTCGCTGTCAAAGACGTCGTTCCATGCACGTGAATTCCGGAGCGGTTCGCGACCGCGATGCAAGCGGGCTTGCGCAATTGAGGCGGCCAGTGGCCCGTGGGCGAAGGGCTGCCGCACAAAATGACGATCCCAACGAACCCACAACGCCGCCAATGGATGCGAGTTAAGATTTCGTCCACGCGCGGGCGTCCACCTCCTCATCTTTTTCCTTTGTTTTTCCCGCTTGCTTTTAATTGTGCTGCAATGCCCGAACAACCGTCTTCGCATTGGTTTCTCGGCCAGCCCTTCGCCCAACGATGGCTTCACATTCCGGAAATACCACATGTGAGCCCTGAGAACCGCTAGACGCATGGATCGAGTCTTGAACGGTGTCGTTCGGCAGTTCTCCAAGATTTTGGGGGGCTGCAGTGGTCGCCCCCCCCCGTATCGGCCACGCCCGCGTTCAAACCAACGATACCTCCAATTCGACCAGCATGCCGCCTGCCTGTCGGATGGCGCCGTCGCGTGGCGCCGCTCTCAAATGCTCTTCCAACTCCTCCTCCACCTCCTCCTCCTCCACCTCCTCCTCCTCATCGTCCTCCTCCTCAACCTCCGCCTCCTCCACCTCCTCCACCTCCTCCTCCACCTCCTCCGCCTCCTCCACCTCCTCCACCTCCTCCTCCACCTCCTCCCCCTCCTCCTCCCCCTCCTCCTCTACCTCCTCCTCCTTCTCCCCCTGCTCCTCCTCCTCCTCCTTCAGCGTCCGTGCTGCTGGCCTGGCGTCCCACGGAGGCGCCGGCCCCGTGCCACGGGCCAGCTGCTGCGCCGCGGGCCCCGCGGCCCGGGCGCGCGTGGTAGGAGCAGTGGAAGGGCATCGTGGAGGCCACGGCGGACACCGACTGCACCGCGCTCAAGGAGGGCGCCGGTGGATGTGGGGTGCAGCAGAAGGACGAGGAGGAGGAGGCGGAGGCGGAGGAGGAGGAGGAGGAGGAGGAGGAGGAGGAGGAGGCCCCCTTCGACCACAAGGCCCGGCGTGTGCCGCAGCATGCCGCTGCCAGGCGCCGTGGCTTGATCCCCCCCCCCCCAGGGCCCACCTGCCCCGGGGGGGGGGAGGGCAGCATCTGTCGGATTCTCATTCCTTCAGGAATCAGGAATCAGGAATCAGGAGTCAGGAGGAGGAGGAGGAGGAGGAGGAGGAGGAGGGGGAGGAGGGGGAGGGGGAGGAGGAGGAGGAAAAGGAGGAGGAGGAGGAGGAGGAGGCCTCCTTCGACCACAAGGCCCGGCGTGTGCCGCAGCATGCCGCTGCCAGGCGCCGTGGCTTGATCATCCCCCCCAGGGCCGACCGGCCCCAGGGGGGGGGGTGAGGGCAGCATCTGTCGGATTCTCATTCCTCCAGGAATCAGGAATCAGGAATCAGGAGTCAGGAGGAGGAGGAGGTGGAGGAGGGGGAGGAGGAGGAGGAGGAGGAGCAGCAGGCATCAGACACCGAGGCGAGAAGGGGAACATAATCCTTCCGCAGTGATTTTGTTCGCGACACTTGGGGGTCTGGGTCTCCTTCTCCCTCGCTCGGCCATGAGATGAAGGGCAGGGCCTTAGTGGGCTCTGGAAACGGCAGGGCCGCTGCGATATTGTTTGCAAGCAATTGCACCTTGGCCATGAAAACGGCTAAACAAAGATTCACCGAAACGGCCGAAATGGCCTGGTCAGCCTAGGGATTCGAAGGACATTCGGAACCTTCTCGAAAACAGTTCGGATCCGCTGCACAAAAAAGGTGATTAGGACCAGGCCCCCACCAGGGCAACCGAAAGTGGTAACACAACGGCGCTGGAAATGTCAACAACACAGCGCCAGAAACCCTACACCTGACGGAACAACGAAGATGGTAAGGGCTCACAAAGGGCCTTGTCGTTTCCGGGGCCTGATACGTCGTGGGCGGAAGACGTGTCCGTATCCGCTGCCTCGCGAGCCGGGCGCCCGGGCCACGACCCCGCGGATACGGGACGTTTTTTCGCGGATGCCTCGCCAGATCGTATCCGTGCGACTGCGTATCCGCGGGATTGCGCCCAAGAAGCCAGTGAGGAGGAGGAGGAAGAGGAGGGGGAGGAGGATGATGGGGAGGAGGGGGAGGAGGAAAGGAAGGAGGAGGACGAGGAGGAGGAGGAGGACAAGGATGAGGAGGACGAGGAACAGGAGGAAGCAGGGCGTGCGCGGAAGGGCGCGGATACGGATGTCCGGGCATTGTAAACCTAACGCCCCCGACAAGTCGATGGACACATTTGCACCATGTCACTTGACATAGGCATTCTAGTAAGCCAGCCAGTCGGTTTCGCTAATTGACGTGCGTCTCGCCGGATGTGTTCGGTCATTTTTGGACGCTGATTCGCTTCCCCGTTGGGGTTCGCTCGGAATGCCGTGCCGTGCGCGTGGAGCGCCCCCTGGCAGCTTTCACCACAGGGCGTCTTGCTAAACTCAGGAGGGAAAGAAACACACAGACACAATTCATCGTCGATTCCCCAAACAATATGGGAAAACATGGGAAGTGGGGGGGAGGACGAGAACCCCCAAAGATATAAGAAAACATGAGGCATATTTTTGTTTGTGTGCATTTATTTGTGTGTCCCAGGGCCCCTTCATAAACGGGCTTCTGCCCACCCCTGAGATCTGCTCGGCGCTCGTGGTCCTCAGGGCCCTCTGCTTCTCGCGGCCCGCGCAGGGCGGGGCGAGCCGGGCGCCCGTCGCCCTGCGGAGGAGGGCCGGCTCCCCGCCGCGGCGCCTCGGTGGCGCGGGGCTGGGCCGGGCTGGCGCGGGCGTGTCGGAGGGCCTAAGGGCTTATCGACTTTTCGCCACTCGACTTGTGGGAGTCGAGCCAGATATATCCAGGTAAATGCAGATAAATCGAGATAAATCAGGGTAAATCCAGGCAAATCGAGATACATCGGGATACATCCAGATAAATCCAGAGATCTCCAGGGAATTCGCGGCTGCTCCAGCGCGAGTCGAAGGACGGCAGAAGTCGTTAAGCCTTTAACGACGGAGGGCCTCGGCGTACAGCTGCCTCCCCCAAAGCAGGCGTATGCTACGCTTGCGTCTGATCGCTGCGATGGCACGGACGATGGCAGCGATGATGGTGGTGGTGATGGTGATGCTGGTGGTCATGCTGGTGGCGGTGATGGTGATGGTCATGATGACGGTGATGATGATGATGATGATGATGATGATGATGATGATGATGGTGATGATGGTGGTGATGATGATGATGGTCATGCTGATGCTGATTATGATGATGCTGCTGCTGCTACTGCTGGCTGCTGGTGGTGGTGGTGGTGATGATGATGATCATGTTGTTCTGGTTGTTGTTGATGGTGATTGCGATGATAGTGATGATGATGGTGACGGTTACGACGCTTTTGATGATGATGGGGATGATCATGGTGATGGCGATGGTCATTGTGATGATGATGGTGATCATACTGTTTTTGTTGATGATGATGATGTTGATGGTGATGAATATGGTGACGGTGGTGATGATGATGTCGGTCATGAGTATGATGATTGTGATGATGATGCTGCTGCTGTTGCTGCGGCTGCTGGCTGCTTATGCTGCTGCTGCTGGTGGAAACGATGATGATGATGATCATGATGCTGTAATTGATGATGCTGATGGTGTTGCTGCTGATGGTGATGGTGACGGTGACGGTGAAGGCGATGGTGATGATGATGATGGTGATGGTGATGGTGATGATGCTGATGGTGTTGTTGTTGATGATGATGCTGATGATGCTGATGATGATGGTGACAGTGATAATGATGATAATTATGCTGCTGCTGGCGGCTGGCTGCTGCTCGTGCTGGTGCTGGAAGTGGTGGTGGTGATGCTGATGATCATGATGCTGTTGTTGGTGATGGTGATAATGCTGATGAGGATGGTGAAGGTGATGGTGATAGTTGTGATGATGATGATGGCGGTGATGATGATGAGGATGATGGCGAAGATGACGATGATGATGGTGATGATTTAGTTGTTGATGCTGATGATAACGATGATGATGGTGATGATGCTTTGGATGATGATTCGGATGCTGATTCGGATGATGATGTTGATGATGCGGCCGGTGGCTGCTGGTGGTGGTGGTGGTCGTGATGATGATGCTTTTGTTGTTGGAATTGATGGTGATGGTGACGGTGATGATGATAACGATGACGATACTTATGATGATAGTCATGCTGATGGTAATGGTGATGATAATGGTGTTTGGTGATGGTCATGCTAATGATGATGGTGATGATGCTGATGATGATTGTTATGATGATGGCGATGCTGATTACGATGATGGTGATGATTGTGATGATGGTGATGGTGATGGTGATGATGATGATGATGAGGATGATGATGATGATGATGGTGCTGTTGCTGATGATGATGATGCTGACAGTGATAACGATGATGCTGATGATGATGATGATTCTGCTGCTGCTGGCTGCTGCTGCTGGTTGTGGTGGTGGTCATGATGGTGATGGCGATGTTGTTATTGTTGATAATGGTTGTTGTGATAGTGATTGTGATGGTGATGGTGATCATGCTGATGATGATGGTGATGTTGTAGGCGATGGTGATGGTGATGGTGATGATGCTGATGTTGTTGATGATGGTGATGATAATGAATGTGATTCTGCGGCTGCTGCTGCTGTCTGCTGCTGCTGGTGGCGGTGATGATGATATCGTTTCTGTTGTTGCTGATGATGATGATGGTGATGATGATGGTGATGATGATTGTGGTGATGCTGATGACGATGATGATGCTGCTGCTGTTGCCTGCTGCTGCTGTTGGTGGTGTTGGTGTCGGTGGTGGTGATGGTGATGATCATGATGTTGTTGATAATGATGATGGTGATGGTGATGGTGATCGTTATGCTGCTGATGATGATGATGGTGATGATGGTTGTGATGGTGATGGTGATGCTGATGATGCTGATGATGATGAGTATAATTATGCCGCTGCTGGCTAGTGGTGGTGGTTGTCATGATGATGATAAGCAACATGCTATTGTTGATAACGATGATGATGAGGATGATGGTGAGGATGATGATGATGGTGATGGTGATGGTGATGGAGATGGTGATGGTGATGATGATGCTGCTGCTGCTGACTGCTGCTGCTGCTGGTGCTGGTGGTGACTGATGTCGATGATCATGATGATGTTGTTATTGATGTTATTGTTAGTTGTGTCGCAGTTGATGGTAATGATGAGGATGAGGATGACAACGCTGCTGATGATGATGATGATGATGCTGCTGATGATGATGATGATGATGATGATGTTTATTATTATTATTAGTATTAGTACTATTGTTATTGTTATTATTATTATTATTACTATTATTATTATAATTATTGGCATTCTTGTTATTATTATCATTATTCGATCGAGCTCGTTACGTGCTGCAGAAAGAGTGGGTCCAGGGCCCGGGTGGTGATTTCTGGCGATGTTTGAGTAGGAGATCGACAACATCGTGTATTTACCCAACGTATTTTCGCCGAATCAACGAAACATGCGTAGACGTTTCGTAGATCAGCGAAACGTCCACACTGGGCATCTACTCTCGACGAAGCAGCAGCATTGTAGTCGATCTCCTACTCGAGATTATCCTAGTTGTTCGACGACGTCGGATCTCAGGGTGGTCTCAGGCTGGGGGCCGGGCCTCGACCTCTCCGCCCTCCCCCCGAAGGGCCCCCGTCCGGGGGCGGTGGCATCCCAGCGGTATCTCCCGAGCACAGTTGTATTACGTGTGCGTCTGCACCCCAGGGGCGACGCGCGCGCTGAGAAAGTTTGTAGTATATTCGGCGGCGAGCGAGGGGGGGGGAGTGAGAAGGAGAAGGGTCCCCCGCGACCGTCTCCCTCCTCGAGCAGTGGCG